GCAATATTTTTTCAAGACGTTGGCACATGAGTTGTCGACGGGATCTCGTGTATCATCAAAACATTTATCTCGACTGCGCCCGTTTCTAGATCCGTCCGGAGTGATCCGCGTCGGAGGACGATTACTTAATTCAGATTTGCCATACGGATGTAAACATCCTATGCTTTTGGCAAAACAATCGCATCTGTCGGCATTAATCTGTCGCCGTTGGCATAAGATATCGTGCCACGCCGGTCCCCGAATCATGACAGCACTCATATCACGCGAGTTCTGGATTGTAGCAATTAAATCTATTTTAAACCGCGTAACCCGCACATGTCCGGTCTGCGTACGTTTCGATGCTAAGCCGCCGCAACCTATAATGGCAGACCTACCATCCGCGCGAGTACAGCAAAGTCGGCCCTTTGCGCGAGTGGGCGTTGATTATGCTGGCCCGATTCAAATGCGCGAGGTCCGGTTGCGAAAAAGTCGAGTATATAAGGTCTATATTGCCGTATTCGTGTGTTTTTCTGTCAAGGCAGTGCATCTGGAATTGGTCACCGAGTTGTCAACCGAAGCGTTCCTCGCTGCCTTTGATCGGTTTGTTGCGCGTCGAGGCCTCCCGTCAGATATATTCTCCGATTGCGGCACAAATTTCATCGGCGCGGACAAAGCATTAAAACAGCTGATCAACAGCCCGGACGGTCAGGACGTAATTGCTCAAGCGCGCTCAGTTTGTCGATGGCATTTTAACCCCCCCAGCGCGCCGCATTTTGGTGGCCTCTGGGAGGCGGCAGTACGGTCAGCAAAACGGTTATTAATTCGTACTATGGGCACCCATGTACTCACATACGAAGAGTTCACGACTCTTCTCACTCGAGTCGAGGCCGTACTCAATTCGAGACCACTGACGCCGCTGACAACCGATCCAGCTGATCTAGATTATTTATCTCCTGGACATTTCTTAATTGGGCAGCCTCTATTGGCTGTTCCTCCACGAGTATCGTTCGATTCACGCATCAATTTAACTCAACGTTGGAAGCTGCTCGACCAATACCATCAGTCATTTTGGCGACGCTGGTCAACTGAATATCTTACTTCGCTTCAAGGAAGGTCTAAATGGACCACCGAGGCCCCTAATGTACAAGTCAACGATATGGTAGTGATCATCGACAACCAATCCCCGCCATTGGCATGGCGCCTTGGGCGTATCCTCGATGTATTACCCGGCAACGACGGCGTCGTTCGCGTTGTGCGATTGTTGACGCGCCAGGGCGAAATCACTCGACCAGTTACCAAAATAGTAGTATTACCAACGCAATAACGTCTTAGTTTAAATTATCCCCGATGAGGTGCTCGTTAATTGAATCTTTCATTCACCAATTCTCATCAGTTATTTCAGAACGATGATTGATCATAATTATTATTCTTTGTTACTTTGGTAATAACCACTATGACCTCGCGTCTAATTGTATTCATATTATTTAATATATTTTTTATTTTTTGATGTTTATGTGTTTGCATCAAACTGTGTATTGATTGTAATGTCGTAACCAACATGTATTTTTTGTCTGTTGTTAACATGTAATTTTTTTTTTTTTTTCCTCTCTTTGTAAACAAAAAAAAAACGAAATAATAAATAGCATCATCTAATCGTCTCAAGTCGCAGCTCCAGTCCACTCAACCCGATCTGCTCAATTTCTATGGGAGCCATAGCCTCCCATGGGGGGGAGGATGTTCGGACCAGACAATACCAGAGCGCGCCATGCCTATCAAATGACGATTCCTGCCGCGCATGCGTTGCGATCACCAGCATCGGAGCGCGCTCTTGCCTCTTGGTGCGTAGCGCCGTTGGTAACAAGACCGTTATGCCGGTTCCGTAATGCTGACTGATGTCTGTCGCATTCGCATATATAGCACGCTACGTTGTGCCTTTTCCTGTTTAACCGTGTGCGTCCCTTTTATTACGGTTTTTCGCCACGCTTTTGGGTGCGTTGTTGTTTTGTGCGTACGGTCGTCACTTTTCACGCGCGATACTACGAGCCGTTGATACATTCCTTTTTTGCTCTAATATCGTCGCTGTGTTAAGATCGTGGACTTACATAGTCGTTGTTGTATGCCGTGTCGCCGCAATTCGGTGTTCGTTTGTACCCACGTGACTATGTACATTATGCCCGTCCGTTCCGGTCGTACCCATGTTTTTACTTTTCCGGCGCATTGTTAAATCGTGTCAATTGCACGGAAAGGACCCGTCCATTGGGATATCATTCTCTGTCAGCCAACGGAGAAGTACGTCGTGTGGAGCAAAGTACCAGTCATCTACCAGGTCAGACGTATCACCCCCATATCGTTATCACTAGTTGTTAACACGACGATTGTTATTACCGTCGTGTGTGTTTTCTTTTGTATTATCAATCGATATCCATTAGTATTATATGTATCATTTTTTTTGTATGATCACGCATCTGAAGCGTATTGTTATATTATTATTACGTTTGTATTATTATATGTATTGTGCGCCAAGCGCCTTAAAAGGACGAGTTGTTATTATTGAATTAATAAGGTCACCTTCCCGAAATCTGCGCGAGTCGGAATAGTCCACTGCCAATATACTGCGTAAGAACTATCCGGCGCAATCAGATATAAATGATAGGTTAAATTACCTCGGGTGACATTTCCTCGCTCCATCGCTGTGCCCACTGTTCAGCTAATTGACTTGTTGCATTTATTTTGAGTTGGCTGATGAAATTCAAGTCTTCTTTAGGAGTGGATCCAATAATTTTATCGTCGCTTAAATTTTTGATAAAAATGATCATTTCTTCAATTGTTTTCGGAGGCGATTTCACATTGGTGAATTCTTGGTCTAAATAATTACCAATAGTCTCAAACTGCTTTAAGACGATTGGTCGCATGATGATTGATTTCCGTGTAACCGTTTCAAATATACACCATTCCAGATATTGAAGTTGAATAAGGTCCGATCGATTTAATAGTATTATACACCGTTCATGATTTTTTTTGTGTCTATAACTAGTACGTTTTCACCGCTGTACACCATACTAGATAGCTTATTAAATTCCGTTTCCAAAAATAATGTACGCTTATATTTTTCGGGTTGTTCCAATATGAAAGACAGTATTTTCCCCATCAGCGAAAATATACGTCTTAGAAAATCCGGTGATATATTAACATAACGAGATGATGTTAATAAACGGATTGCAACTTGAAAATTTTCAGTAGGGTCAATACCAAGGTGCACAAACTTACGGTTTGTAAAGTCAATATTGTGTAGCTTGTGGACTCGATGAGTTCAGCTGGCGGTAACGGAGGAGTATATTTAAAAGGTTTCTTCTTCCATATATCAGCCATATTTGCGACTGGTCCATCCATACTTATTTTAAACACCGAAAAATAATTTTAAACACTTTTTAAAATAAAACTCACAAAATGTTTAAAAACAGCAGCGAACGAGCGAACGTGTATAACCGTTTAATGCAGTAAACGTACTACACGACAGTCGGCTCTTTCAGCCATGGGTCTCTAGACGTTGTATAAGTGGGAGCATTCCTGTTTTGTGTACGCATGCGCGGTTCAAACCGGGTGGGGACAGAGCCACTGAATTCATTTTATGGTTGGGAATCATGTGCAGGGATATTGCATGTTACTTCATGTCCGTTAACGCATACAATATTGTCTGACCCATATAACGATAATCCTTTGAAAAAGCCGCCTACACTCGGTCAAATCAAAGAGTAACGGCACACACTTATAACGGTAAATTATGGTGGTAGATGTTAACTGGGGTAACTAGGTGCCGAAAGATATTATTATGATGGCACTAAACCTAATGTTATATTTGATACTATACATAATATTTTATATTATAATAAATATATTTTTAAATCTCGGCTAGTTAATTGAGTGAAAATAACGCCAAGGGTATAAGTGGTCATGTGCCCAAGGGGGACTTATCGATTCCGCCAATTTAGCATCGATTCCGCCAGTATCGACTCCGCCAGTTCAGGTAGTCTAAAAACAACCTATCGATTCCGCCACCTACCAATTTCTACCTCGACCTGGCAACTGCTGCTGTCAACCTATTTCTGTTATAATAATAATAATATATCTAAAAAATAATTCAATAATTAATTTAAATATTAAAAATAAAATTAATAATCAGTTTAATAATTAATACAATACAATATATATATATAATAATACAATTAAATTAGTCAAATATGGTTTTAAGTTATACAATGATATTTTTATGGTATGATGGATGCCAAACTAATGCAATGTGAATTAATATATACATAAAATAATAAAATATAGTTAAATAAATAAAATTGTATAATAATAATAATATAGGTATCTACAAAATAAGTCAATATTGAATTTTAATATAAATTAATAAAAAATTATTTTTTCCCTGGCGGAATCGATAGGTCGTTTTTAAACTATATCTGCATTGGGGGAATCGATGCTGGCGGAATCGATAAGCCTTATACCCAAGTATAAAATGGTCTGGCGGAATCGATGAAACCCCGTGCCCAAGTGGGTTACATCGTTATAAGTTGGGGACGAGGGTTCGCCAACTATTTTGTAGTTTTTTTTCCCCCGTCATATAATTTTCCTCGTCTTGCGCGGATGAGTGTGTAGCCGTTCTCTTACAGCTGATAAGAACTCGGAAAAAAAAAGAAAAAATTTATTAGATCATGTTTATCAAAACTAAAACATAAATTCCCCGTACCATTATGTACCATAAAGACAGTACTAAGCAGTAAGTAACAATAATGCAATATTGAATAATTTTTTTAAAGATACTATTTAATTCAAGACATATTATTTAAATGTTATAAATAACTTCCGCCTAGGCAAACTAGGCAGCTGCCTAGGGGACCTTGCCTTCCTGAGGCCCTCAGGGAAACACACACAAAAAAAAGGTATCACGCACATAAATTGATTAACACGGAAAATAGTTCGTGTATAATATAGAATATTATTGAGAGGAAGTAATTTAGAAATTAATATTATTATGTTGTGTTTTAGTCTTATGGAACCGTATATAAACACAAATAAATACATTTCGTGGTGTTAACCGAAAGCCGTAAAGACTAAATATTTTTTTCGGTGCGAGCAATATTGTTATCGTCCGCTCGCCAGGGTATTTTTTATCCAGTCAAGACCCTCAAGAGTCAAGAAATCCCAATAATTCTTAAAATAGTGAGTAATTATTATCGCGTCGCCTTCTCGCCAGCCTGCATGCAAAATCGGTTCAGCTGGTACACGGCGTTATCTTTATCTTTTCATCGAAACCAATAGTCTATGATACATTAAAATATTATAAATAGTTTGTTTTGAAAGCTAGGGGTACAATTATTATAGTCGGTTGAATGAAGAGTGGCCGCTGATGCCCACGCGCCTAGCGATACATTTTTATCATTGTACCGCAAAATTATGGAAAAAAGCGAGCGCATTTTGAATTATTAAGTATGTATAATTATATACTATGTACTTGTTTGTTTATTTTTCTATAATCGATAACTAATCTTTTTGTTTTATCCGCCTTATTAACTAAAAATGCTGGGCTAGCATATGCTGAATTAGATGGTATAATTAAACCTGCTTTTAAAAGTTTATTGACTTGTCTTTGTAACTCTTTTTGTTCGCATAATGCTAACCTATATGGTGGTAAATTTACTGGGTCATCCGTTAATGTGGGTATTGGTATATCTCCAATATCAATGGATCCTAGGTCCATATCATGTTGCGCGAAATAATCCGCGAATCTTATCAATATATTTTTTAGTTTTACTTGTTGGCTTGTTTCCAACTCAGGGTTAATATCAAATTATAATATTTTATTATCTGTTGAACTTGTTATGTTACATATTGTTATATTGTTTTCGTTATTTTTTACGAGTGTGTTTTGTAACCTACCTATAATTTCATGGTATCTACATTTGGTTATATACGTTTCAGAATTTTGTAATAGAAATTGTTGGAAATTAATTTTTTGCTCATTTTGTGTAATATTTTTTGTGCCTTGTAAGGTATATTTTATTGGTTTGTTTTCCTGTTCTATTTTTAATTTTACTTCGGTTCCTTTATAATTAAACGTTATTAAATTATTTTTTAAATCTAAAATTGTGTTAATTTTTTTCATTATGTCTAATCCTATTATTACTGTTGTACATAGATTGTCAACTATAATTATTTTATGATTTATTACTATTTTTATCTGAGGCACAGTTGTTCCTAGAATGTTTAGTTTAGAATTGTTCGCCGTTTCAAGGTAGAGTTCGCTTTCAGAAGTTAATTTATTACATTTAATAGTATTTTTGTTTATGACTTTTACACTCACCCCTGTATCTAATAACAATTAAGTAGTTTGGTTATTTATTTTTCCTTGTACTTCTATTTTAATTTTTCCTTTATCATTATCATAATAAGTATAAATAGTATTATTTGTATATGTATCTTTGACGCTATTTAAAGGTATATTGCTGGTTCTTAATGTATTGGTGTTCCTGTGCAGACCCAGTTATCTGCGGAACTATTAGTTTTTTTGTACATAGGTATTACAGTTTCTTTTTATGTGTCCCGGAATTCCACACTGAAAACATATCGGTGGGCCTTGTTGATTTCCATAAGTATAATTATTATGGGGTGTTGTTCCCTGATTAATTTGTGTAGGGCGTGGTGTGTTGGCTAATTGGTTATTTTGTGTATTATTATAATTACAATTTTGATAAAAGTTTGGTCTAGGGAATTGGGTGTTTGTCATCTGGTTATTATGTGTAGGATAGTTGTAATTTGGATAAAAGTTTGGTCTTGGATTATTTTGATAATATTCATTTAGATTATTAAATATAGGTGGTTGGTAGTGTTGATTTCTATTATAAAAGCTGAATTTATTGTGTTTGCGCCATTAATGGCAATTTATATTATATTTCATTGTATTTGTTTCTGCTATTTTTATTATTATTTTGGCGATTAATTTTTGTTCTTATCTCACATACCTGCAGCGCGGTCGACGATGGTAACAGCTGTCGTGTACTGACCACCCAGTGTATGTGTGATAAATTCTATTATTCAATGGTCTTGTCGCCAAATGTTGTTCTTCTCCTTTTTTTCTATAGTGTTGGTGGCACTGACATTTTTCGTGCTGGATTTCTTTTCGTAAAATCGCCGTTTTGTCTCTGTTGACGCCACAATCAACGTTTGCACCTGCACGCCGTGTCCACCACCAAAGGCCCGATAAGCTTATCTGTCGGCCGACCGGTCTCGGCGGTGGTGACCCAGCATACGCTTCTCTAGTACCGGTGTAGTAGCCGCGACGACCTGTGCGTGTCGTCCGTTGCCGCTTTGTTGTTGCACTATTATATGTCTACCGTGCAAAACTTCGTCGTACGTACGTAAACATATGATCATCGCCCGTCCCTCGTCGCAGTGCGTAAGTTAAAAGTTTATTATAAATGATCATCGCTCGTCCGCAAAGTGCGCAACGCGACTCATCTTATTTGCAAACATTATTACCATCGACTGCAAGTCATTATCAAAACGTCGCATTACGTAATTGGTGCAGCTGTTCCACCACGACATACACAGCACTACCCAGTACATGTTATCAGGTCGTACTATCATTCATTCTACATATGATTTTTTTTGTTATTGATGTATTAGTTAAATTATTATAACGATCGCTTGTGATCTATTTATTATATTATTGTAGGTATTTACCGTGGTCGGGTGTGACCATATTATTACTAACATAGGTTAAGGCCTCGTATGTATTATTTTCAATTATTTTCAATATTATTCAATTATTTGTCATATTATTCGCTTGTTATTTATCATCCATATTTTAGTCCTATACTGTTGGTAATCTCCTTGAGCAATACTTTGTCGGGCGTACCAGCCGCAACATTTGGTCCATTCGAGACCGGATATCGAAAATACAGTCCACTTTAATTTACTTAACCATTCGATAAAACAAGTGAATTTTAGTCATCATCTTGGTTCTCATAGCTGTCTCAAGTCTATTTATTATATTGTAGTATGGTAGCGTGCGTGTTGGCCATCTAGATACGTCATAATAACGTTGTCATTTTTTTTTATTACACGGTATTAATAATTCGCGATGGCGCCAACAGAACAACAAGAACAGGAACGTGTTGAGCGATCCTTACAGCGCGCTATTGTTAAACGAGATAAGCATGTTAATAAGATGTTAATATTGTTCAAATTATCGAAGACAGTTGAGTCTGATCCGTCATCTTTACCTATGTTCGATGCGCGTAAACGGGATTTGGAAACACTCATGTCAGCTTTTCGCCTCGACCAGGAGGACGTTATGGATCAAATGGTAGAGCTAGGGCGGATTGACGAGTTCATACGGGACCATAGTGTCATTGAAACTGTTGTCACCGAACAATACTATTCTATACAAGCCGTGGCGGGTGCGATGGCCTGTTGTAAAATGGATACGGTAATTAGATCAGGCTCTCACATTAATTTACCAAAAATTGAGTTACCGCACTTTAATGGTGACATAATTAACTGGCGGTCTTATCGTGACACATTCACATCGCTTGTCCACGACAATCCAGATCTTAACAGTGTTGAGCGATTTCACTATTTAATTGCTTCAGTCTCTGGAGCTGCGAGTACGGTGGTACGTTCAGTTCCTCTTACTGGTCCCAATTATGAAGTTGCCTGGAATGCATTGCATGATCGTTTTGACAGTACACGTCTTATACTTCACGCGCACTTGGACAAATTATTCGGATTTTCTCTCATAAAAAATGAATCACTAACTGGCCTAAATAACTTTTTAGATGTATTTAAAGAGAACACAGCAGCGATCAACGCTCTAGGTGTGCATGATCTGTCCGGTTTCCTACTATTCTATATAGCGTCGCGCGTCCTGGATAGTTCGACGAAGCGTCTCTTCGAGGCTGATCGGGGCACACATGATCTTCCCACTCTAAATGATTTATTAATATTTATACAATCTCGGTGCAAAATTCTACAAAATAGTTCGATGTCAGACGCCGAAAGAAAACCTGCAGCTTTCACGCGCCAAAAACCTGTAACTTCAAGATCATCGTTATTGGCCGCAACCAAGGATCACGAGCCTTACTGCTATGCGTGCCAAGGGACACACTATATATACAAATGTGAGAAGTTTAAGGGACTAACCACATCATCACGATTTCAGCTGGTAAGGTCCAAGAACATGTGTTCAAATTGTCTCAGTGGTTCCCATACGGTTTCCACATGTACGTCGAAGTATTCGTGTCGAACCTGTTCCGGAAAACATCATTCGTTACTGCACTTCGAATCGCGAAAGCGCCAGGCTGACACTAAGTCAAATAACAATGCACCCGCGGTTTCATCGTCGTCGGCAGCCCCCGTTGGTAATCTACCAAGCACCGATGACACGTCATTTGTTGGTACCGTTAGCAGCGGCAATTTGAGTGTTCTGGGCACAGCTGTTATTCGGATGTGCAACCAACAGGGACAGTGGGTACCAGTCCGTGCATTAATAGATTGTGGATCACAAATATCTGCCATAACAACAAAGTGCGCAACACGACTTGGTCTCACTCGCTGCAATCGTACAATCAACGTAGTCGGATTGTCACAGAGCCCCGTAGTCCAGGCAAAAGGTGTAGTCTTGTGCAGCATAGTACCACACATGCGGTTAGATCGACAGCTAACTTGTGAACCCGTTCTATTGTCAAAGATTACTGGGCTGATGCCTTCGAAAGTGTTAGATTTATCTATACGAACTCATTACATGGATCTGGAGCTCGCAGATCCGAATTTCGATCGTCCAGGGCAAATTGAATTCTTACTAGGCGCTGACGTGTACAACCACATTTTCACAGACGGTTATCATGTACGTCATATACCAGGATTGCCTTCCGCGTTCGAGACAACACTGGGCTGGATTATTGTTGGAGCCGCGGCAGCCTCAAGAACTTTGTCATCGCAAGTATCACTGTCATTGACAACCGAACCGTCACTTAAACAATTGCTGAACCGGTTTTGGGAAGTTGAGGAGCCTGTGGTTTTACCTAATCCGTTTACAGAAGAACAGAAGTGCGAAGAGATTGCTTTTCTGCGGCGGTACTCATTTGCGAGTGTTGTAAATGGATAAAACTAGAGCGCGCCACGTATTTGATCGCTCCGTTTTATCTCATTACATTGTCCCCTTTTTTTTTTTTTAATTTGGAATTTGAGTGTGACAAGCAAAAAAAAAATAAAAATAAAAATAAAAACTGAAATTTTGATTCTTTCGAAGGTATTGGCCTTTAGCGTTTGTGTTGGCGCTTGTAGTCACGAGTGACTTTTGTTTTTACCTTGTATAAAAGGCGTTTCAAGCGGGTGTTGGACACGTTCTGAAACTCTTTTAAGTGGTCCCTTGTTTCCCATAGGCGTCGCCGGATTTCTTGGAGCGCTTCGGGTTTATCCGTAAACATATCTCTTATCCGTGCAATGATGATTTCTGACTCTGTTTCACTGTGTTGGGAGGAAGTTTCCTCGGTGTCATTTGCTTCTGGGGTTGTGATAGAGACTTGCTGAATCTCAGCTGGAGTTTTGGATTGATCGGGTACTTTTTCCCAACATTTTAAGAATGCAGTCCATGTGGTCTCCGTGGCAGATGGACATCTCTGTGCTATTACGGTCGGAGGTATCACATATGCTTGTTCCAAGAGATACTGTGTTCTCTTGGCCTCTTCTTGCCGGTAAAACATTGCGATCTTCTTCTTCTGATTAGTTGTCAACAGATTGTCAATGGTAGTTACCTCGATCTTGTTGAGGGCATCTCTCTTCTTTAACTTGGTCAATGGGATCTGGACGAACATGTTGCTCGGGTCCTAGAAATGAGTTTTTTACCTAGTGGTCTTTTTGGTTACATACCTGGTTCTCACAGGCAATTTAGTTTTTTACATACATAGACATACATTTACACATTTTTTTTTTTTTTGTATTTATTGTCTAACAGTTTTTGTTGTGAGATTCGCCTGCTTCTGGCTTATCCTCATAATACTTTTTTACATTTTTGAAGTTGATGGTCTGATAATTTCCTCGAACCTCAACCGTTACCGTGTTGTTGTTGTGTATTTTTTGGATGGTGTATGGCCCATGATAGATCAGGAACAACTTATGCGTTTCTTTGTCCTCTGCTGATGACAAGCGGTGCTCTTTGATTAATACTTGGTCCCCTATGTTGTATTGAGGAAATTTCTTTTCTTTGTCTTTATAAGTGTTTCTTATTTCGGCCTTTTTCTGCGTGCGTTTGATGACAATCTGTACCAGGTCTGGTGGTTTGTCATCTACCTCTGTTTTAGGAAATGCTATTAGTTTGGTCAAAGACAGCTTGGTCTGTTCTTTGAACATTATAAAATTTGGGGTGTATCCCGTGGTAGTATGCGTGGTATGGTTAATCCAATATGCCACGTTATCTAACCACTTGAGCCAGTTTGTATGTTGTCGGTGGCAGTAGGTTCGTAGCAAACGTCCAATTTCGCGATTTGCTCGTTCTACCGGATTACTTTCTGGGTGATAGGTTGTGGTGTGGAGAATCTTGACTTTCAATCCCGTCATAATCTTCTCCCACTTGCTACTGGTGAATTGGGTTCCATTATCCGTCAAGATTTTCTGAAATAGTCCAACAGTTGGTATGTACTCCTGTACTAACCGTTTAACAATTGTATCCGTGGTGGCTCTTCTCAGAGGATACAATTTTATGTATTTTGAAAATACATCCAATACTGCTAAAATGTATTTGCAACCTCCTTGACTTCTTGGTAAGGGCCCCATTAAGTCTACTGATACAATTTCTAGTGGTTTTGTAGGGAGAAGACTTAATGTTGGTCCCCTAGACACTATATTGCTGGTTTTTGCTTTTTGACATATATCACACACTTTAATTATTCGTTTGACGTTGAAGTACATATTTTTAAATTGATGGTTTTGCTGCAACAGTTTAAACGTCTTATAGGTTCCGCAATGTCCGTAGATCTTATGTGTTTCTATGACCAAAGGTTTGATCAATACTTCGGGAATTAACAGTTGATATTCCCCGTTGGGTGACTGTCGGAACAATAAGTTCTGATGAATCAGTAAGTTGTGATCGGTTCGCAGAGTTACGCGTGCTCGGAGTTTTTTGATATGTTCATCCTCTTTTTGCAATACTTCTAGATTTTTAAAATGTTCTTTTAACTCATTGCTGTAGTCTAATAGTGAGATTTTGTTGATCACTATGGTCTTTTCCCTCGTGGCGGGGTTATCAGTTGGTGATTGTGGATATCGTGTTAATGTGTCGGCGCCGAGGTTTTCTTTCCCAGGAATATGTATGATTTCTAATTGAAATTCTTGTAGATAGGTTGCCCATCGAATTAGTCGAGCGTTGAGTAACTGACAAGTATTTAAAAAGGTGAGCGCATGGTGGTCTGTGAATATTTTAACTTTATGACCAAGTAAATAATTTCGGAATTTCTTGCATGCAAATACAATTGCGAGAAGTTCAAGCTCCGTGGTATTATAATTCTGTTCTGTTGGTTTCAGAGTTCTGCTTGCGAAACTTAAAGTTTGATGTTCCCCTTTGTCAGTAACTTGGTAGAGCTCTGCTCCGAGATGTGTGGTTGAAGCATCAGTGCTAAGATGGAATTCTCGTTGAAAATCGGGAAACTGAATTATTATGTCTTCAAGAAACTTTTGTTTTACGTTCTCAAAAGCTTGCTGTTGTGTGTCTCCCCATACCCATTTTGCGTCTTTTTTGGTTAGTTTGCTCAGGTGTCCCGTGTCTTGTGATAGGTCCCTGATAAACTTTCGATAAAAATTAATGAATCCGATGAAGGCCTGTACTTGCTTTTTTGTCTTCGGTGGTTGAAAGTTTTTTATCGTTTGTATTTTGTCTGGATCCATGGTTATTCCTTTCTGGCTGATAATGTGACCCAGAAAAACAACCTGATTTTTCAAAAACTGCGATTTCTTCTTGTTGATGGTGATGTTATGTTGTTCAAGCTTCTTAAATATTTGCTCCAGGTGGTACATGTGCTCTTCGAAACTAGTCGAGGTAATATGTATATCGTCCACATATATGGCAGCAAATTGTAACACCTCTGGTCCCAATACTTGATCTAGTACTTTTTGGAACTCGGCTACTGAATTAATGAGTCCAAAAGGTAACACCTTGAATTGGTAGTTCCTGCCTTTGTGTAAAAATGCAGTTATTTCTCTACAGTTCTTTTTCAATGGACACTGCCAATAACCAGCGGTTAAGTCGATCGAACTTAAATATTTCATCCCTTGGAATTTGATAAGTGTGTCATCCATGTTGGTCGGACACTCTCTATCGGGTATGATGACGGTGTTGATTTTTCTAGCATCTAAACATAGTCGAATATCTCCATTTTTCTTTTCTATGCATACAATTGGTGATGACCATAGTGACGTAGACTTTTCTATAATTTGTAGGTCTAACATCCTTTGTATTTCTGCGTCTACTTTAGGTATTCTTGATACGGGTATCGGATAGGGTCGTTGATAGATAGGGTCCCCTGGTTTGACGCGTATCTGACACTGGAAGTCGGTGATTTTTCCAGGCTTTTCGGAAAAAATGTGCTCGTACCTGTTGAGTGACGATATAAATGTGTTACTCTCTTGATCGCTTAACACTATTTGGTCGTCATTGGTATTTTCACTTATTTCCACATTGAGAAGATGTTCCTTGATTATCTTCGGTTCTCGGTTGGCAAATGGAATGGTAAGTGGTACGTTATTGACGCTGAATTGTATTGTTTGTCTATCGAATTTTATCTGCGCTGAATATTTGTTTAATAAGTCAGCTCCAAGTATTCCTTGTTCATTGAGGCCTTCCACTTGGACGAAGTTAGTTTGTAGGTAAATGTCCCCTATTTTACACTCACAAAATATTTGTTTGGACACTTTGCATATTCTTTTTCCTACAGCGTTACTAATTTGTATCCCCGTGACTGGTAGCTGTGGTATCCTCGGATTTTTCTGTGTGATTACATCAATCACCTCCTTTGTAAGTACGCTTATTGTGGCTCCGGTGTCGACTAACAATAGCATTTCTTCACCCTCAATTTCACATTTGATATATGGACTTATTGATGCATTGGTAGTACTTAGTGAATTTATTGCGTGATTTTCACTACTAGTACTTGCGTCGGTTTGTTCGTCACAATTTGCTATCATTTGGTTGACTCGTTCAGTTTGTGGTTGATTATTTGGTCGAGCGTCCTCACGTCGATCGTTGTTACGTGGTGCTTGGTTATTGTTCCAGCGATTATTGCGTGGCGGCATGTTGTTCCATCCACTGTTTCGTGTGTTGTTCCAATTGTTGTTATTTCTTTGTTGATTATTGGAATCGTTTTGGTTGTTTTTCGGCTGACTTTTCGGTGGGTTGATCGCCTTGCCCTTCCTCACCTAATATTTTCATGGCTGCAATTATGGTACACTCTGGTAACGACACTAATATTGCTCTGAGGTAACCTGGGTAGTGCCGAGCTATGTGTTTTACTATTTCGTGTTCGGATAACCTTGGTACCTCCAAATGTCGTAACTTTGTTGCCCACGTGGCGAAATGTTCACGGTAATTGGTATTCGTTGGTATGTGTTTTGTATTTAAACATTGACTCCATACCTGTATTTGTATTTCTCTGGACCAGAACTCGTCAATAAAAGCTCTTTGGAAATCCTCGTAATTACATAGTTGAAATCGTATCGTGGAAAACCAACTGTACGCGTTTGATTTCAAACAGTCTCCCACAACAATAATTTTCTCTCCTACGTACGTTTGCTTAATGGCAAAATATTCTTCAAGTCGGTGTAAGAAATCTCGCGGGTGTATGTCCCGTCCGTTTCCAAAAAATGTAGGTCGTGCAATATCTGTGTGATGTAGATTATTGTTATTATTTGCTCCACAGTTATGCGCTGGTGGTGGTGACGGTTGGTGTTCTTGACGTTCATATTTCCGTTCAAGTTCACTTAGCTTTCTTGACCAGTTTTCTTCGATAATTTCTATTTTTCTGGCATTTTCTTCTTCTATATTATTGCATTTTTCTTCAAGCTGATTAATTTTTTGCAGTAATTGGTTGACTAAATATTGACTGTTTCTTTCCACTTCGTTTTTAAATGCATTGAATGTTTCTTCTGATATATTCTTCTTGGGTGCCATTTTTTTTTTTTTTTTTTTAAAGATGTAGGTTTCTTCTTAATGTACACGATGTAGTATCTTCTTAATCTCGTAAGTCGACGTAGAAATGTTCTTTCTTACTCGAGCACTGTAGTTGGGCGCCAAATGTAAAGAAAACACAACACTTGATTTTTGGTATTTAGATTTTTTGCGTGTTTATTTTCATTAACTTTAATGATACAAATATAATTGTGATTTTACAATATTTCTTTTCAATCATTTATACTCTTTACGAGTTTACAACAAAAAATAATTTTTTCAGGGGTAACATAGAACATGGGGGGGAATGCGTGTGTAAAGACTCACGGTTATTATGTCGGGTTTTGAGGTGGATCGGTTTGGACGGCGTCTTCCCTCACGACAAATGGTAGGTCTGACTATTCCGATACAACGGAGGATTGACTGCTACGGAAATTGATACACGGCGTTAGGAACGTTCACTCCGATACAACGGAGGATTGACTGCTACTGGTAGGCTTGTGAACGGCAACGGAAATCTGCAGACGGCGATAGAATGATCCGGCGGCTTTGGTGTGACGTATGACTGGATACTGGCTGCTCCACTCTGACGGCGGCGCTCAGCATGCACGGGGCAGGTCGACACTGTATACGACGGTCGGTTGCGGCGTATTTGGGAGTTGCCGGGTCAGACTATATGGTTGAACATCCGTTCTTGCCAATATTGCTATTGGCCGGCTTGTTCCAGTCTGGGGCAAATTTCGCTGTTGTTCGAGTCACAAATAATATCCGTTCTTGCCAATATTGCTATTGGCCGGCTTGTTCCAGTCTGGGGCAAATTTCGCTGTTGTTCGAGTCACAAATAATATCCGTTCTTGCCAATATTGCTATTGGCCGGCTTATTATTATTCTTCGCAGCGGGGAGTGCTCAGCGGCCTGTATATCTGTTATACTGGGAACGCTGGTCCCGTATAGTTTTGATGTAAACTTGTACCTGATTTCTTTCATTTTTCGATGGTTTATTCATGTGTTTAATATAAACCGAAGTATCTAAATTATAGTTTAGATTCCCAGGAAAAAGAATATGATACTCGCGATTCAATCCGATGCTTGGTTCGACGCGAAAACTCGCTTTCCCTGTGTGCACCGGTACAATGACGTGCGGATGCGCGCCATCTGTATATCCTGGCGGCAGACGCGCGTAGTCGCCGAATTGCTTTTCTGCGGCGGTACTCATTTGCGAGTGTTGTAAATGGATAAAACTAGAGCGCGCCACGTATTTGATCGCTCCGTTTTATCTCATTACAGGCTTAACAAGATAAGTGAACTTCTGCCCTCAGTTCAGTGGCGATACGTACCATCAATGCAAAATCCAGCTGATTGTGTGTCCCGTGGCTTACTTCCTACCGAGGCATTAGAACACAGTTTATACTGGGATGGTCCGTCTTTCGTACAACAGTCACCTGATACTTGGAAATCACCACAGTATGAAAAAATTCCCGTCGCTGAACTACCTGAACAGAAAACCGTGGCAGAGACTCTGCACGTTATTGTTACACCAACAACGAACGACGACTGGATTGAAAACTTTTCATCATTGACTCGTCTAAAGAGAGTTGTTGCTTACATGAGACGTTTCATCGTCAAGGTTCATTACAAGTCACTCCAGCGAAAGCCCACACATCAATGTGACGAGCATCCACCCATGTTTACAGGATTCCTTCGATATGAAGAACTTCGCGATGCCTTAAAGACGCTAGTCCAAATAACGCAACGCACCCACTTTCCACAGTTAATCAAGCTTATTTCATCGTCGTCATCGTCAATTAAACCTCGTTCGATAGCTTGTCTCACCCCGTTCATTGACGCATCTGGAATCATACGCGTGGGTGGACGATTGCGCCGTTCAACCGCACCGGAAGACTTCAAATATCCAGTGTTAATGCCAAAATCAAGCGCTTTAACGTTACTGTTGATCCGATATTATCATATAACTGGTATGCACGCTGGGCCTCAGCTTGTGGCATCCTTGTTGTCTTCTCAATTTTGGATTGTGTCAAGTCGCTCAGTTATTCGTCACATTATTTTCAAATGTGTTACCTGTACACGACATCGAGCGTTAACCGTCAAAACGTTAATGGGCGATCTTCCTTCCTCACGAGTATGTCCATCGAGACCTTTCTCTAATGTCGGTGTAGATTATGCAGGACCATTGTTGATCAAGGAAAGCAGACGTCGGAACGCCCGATCTACAAAATGTTATGTGGCGATCTTCATCTGCATGGCCGTGAAAGCGGTGCACATCGAAGTGGTCTCGGATCTAACAACTTCAGCATTCCTGGCGTCATTGCAGCGTTTCATTGCTCGCCGAGGAATACCTTTGGAAATATACTCAGACTGTGGTACCAATTTCCAAGGTGCCGCATCTGAATTGCGTCGGTTGTGGTCAGATCCTGAAGCACAAAACAGTGTCTCAAACGCTGTGCCGTGTAGGTGGCACTTCAACCCACCGGCTGCTCCCCACTTCGGGGGACTGTGGGAGGCAGCTGTTAAATCCATGAAAACCCACCTGAAACGAGTAATTGGCACCCAATTGTTAACTTTTGAGGAGATGTGCACCATAACTCAACGAATAGAAGCCATACTGAACTCACGACCAATTACACCCCTTTCGTCAGATCCGAATGATTTACGAGTGCTAACACCAGGTCACTTCCTCACAGGTGCACCTCTCGTCACGCTGCCTGATCCCGATGTGAAGCAGATTCCGATGAACCGTCTCAACCGATGGCAGCTGTTGGATCAATTTCACCAATCGTTGTGGAAACGTTGGTCTTCGGAATACTTGCGATCATTGCAAGTCCGATCGAAATGGCACCACCCGCAACCTAATGTCACAGTTGGTGACCTTGTGCTAGTGCAGGCACCCAATTTGCCACCCACACTCTGGAAAATGGGACGGGTCGAAGCCGTTCATCCCGGTGAAGATGGAGTGGTGAGGGTAGTAACTCTCCGTACCAGTGACGGCACCCTCAAGCGGCCCGTGGTCAAGTTAGCTCGTCTTCCAATCAATTAAAACAAAAAAAGTTATTCCTACGCAGCAAAGGTCTTTCCTCTCCTGTAAACTGATATTTCGTGTATTTTTTGTATTTTGTATAATTATTTTGTTAACATTATATGTATTATGTTTTTGTTCAAAAATTCATCTTCGTTTACGCCTCGATCACATTTTGGAAGGTCCTTGGTCTTCCAAGGGGGGAGTATGTTGACGCCACAATCAACGTTTGCACCTGCACGCCGTGTCCACCACCAAAGGCCCGATAAGCTTATCTGTCGGCCGACCGGTCTCGGCGGTGGTGACCCAGCATACGCTTCTCTAGTACCGGTGTAGTAGCCGCGACGACCTGTGCGTGTCGTCCGTTGCCGCTTTGTTGTTGCACTATTATATGTCTACCGTGCAAAACTTCGTCGTACGTACGTAAACATATGATCATCGCCCGTCCCTCGTCGCAGTGCGTAAGTTAAAAGTTTATTATAAATGATCATCGCTCGTCCGCAAAGTGCGCAACGCGACTCATCTTATTTGCAAACATTATTACCATCGACTGCAAGTCATTATCAAAACGTCGCATTACGTAATTGGTGCAGCTGTTCCACCACGACATACACAGCACTACCCAGTACATGTTATCAGGTCGTACTATCATTCATTCTACATATGATTTTTTTTGTTATTGATGTATTAGTTAAATTATTATAACGATCGCTTGTGATCTATTTATTATATTATTGTAGGTATTTACCGTGGTCGGGTGTGACCATATTATTACTAACATAGGTTAAGGCCTCGTATGTATTATTTTCAATTATTTTCAATATTATTCAATTATTTGTCATATTATTCGCTTGTTATTTATCATCCATATTTTAGTCCTATACTGTTGGTAATCTCCTTGAGCAATACTTTGTCGGGCGTACCAGCCGCAACAGTCTCTCATTGCCTCGCTGTTCTGTTCCCTTTTTTCTTTCTGACTGAGCACTTGTCATGTCACGATCTCTTCAAGGTTCAAAGTTGTCTGCTTCTGATTCATTTATAAAAAAAAACCACGTGTTCTTTTCTTCTTTCCTTTACCTTTGTAAGTATCGTTCACGCGACCGTGAGTTGCTCGTATTAAATTATTCTTTTCTTAGGTTGCATTTGCTCGGTCGTTTTGTTGTCATCTGCCCGATTTATGCGTGCTGGCATTTTACGTATCTGCAGGCGTTTGGTTCATGTTTGGTTCTACGTTTTCTAGTGTCTACGTTGTGGTATGTTCAAGTAGTCGCACGTGTGCGGGTTGTGATATTTTGTAGTTATTATTTACGTCCCCGGCGCGGTCGCGTGGGATGAAATCCGCTACTTGACATATTACCTGTGAGTTTTGTTTGCTTATAAACGGCCGACGGGCCTATTATTATCATTAATATAAAGTTAGAATTTGTACAAAAAATTATTATACTGTTATTAACAATTATTTTTATATCATACCGTTGTTGAACAATTATTTATTATACTACCTGTTAATATTTTACTTATATATTGTATCAAATACAGAACAATGTTATCAACGCAAGTGCTGTTATAATATATCATATTTCCTAAAGGATAGCGGTACTTGTATTGCCTATCAACTAAGCCGTGGAGGCATGATCTATTAATATTATAGAAGGCTGAAACGAGCAAACACATTGCTATAGCTAGTTTGCCCTCCGTTTTGATAATTATTGTTACTATTAGGGATGTTCTTATGAGTTCGTCCAATCTTAATTTGACTTATATGATTTTTTTAAACCTCCATTTCTCTAGTCAATTTCTCTACTACTCCATTTACTTTATCTTCCGATCTCAATAGATTTGTTACTTCGAGTTTCTCTAAAGTTTTTTCAATGCTTGCAATCGATGTATTATCTGCCAACCTTATTAATTGAAAAGTTTCTTTGGGTACTCCTTTTAAAATGTGTTCACATATTTCTTCTTCGGTCATATTTTTGTTTATTTTATAACATATTCCTACTATTTTAATTATAAATTCTTTATATGTTTCTCCTTTTTCTAGTTTCAGATTTTGCAATTTTGCCATTAGTAAATGTTTATTTCCTACTAATGTAAATCCTGGTATTAATTCACTTTTGACTTCGTTGCATGTAATATTTTCGTTTTTTGATTTCAATTGTTCAAAAAAATCTTCTGCTGAGTCTTTATTATAAGATATAATTGTAGAATAATTACTTTGTCTTGGTCTTCCCACTCGTTTACTACAGATATTAGTTCAAATTTTTTTATGAATTTATCTATATCTTCGTTTTCTTTTCCTGAGAAAACATCGGGTTTATGGTTAAACGCCATTTTTATATAGTGTTTTTTTTATCGTTTTTTTTTTTAAACTTTTCCAATATTATTATTAGTGTTGATCTGTTCACTCGAAATATTATTGTGGGTTTCTACTTTTAAATGTATAAAATCTGCTGTACAATCGTTATTTCCCTTTTTATGTACTAGTTCTGTGCTTTTGTAGACTTCTAAACTTTGATTATGTTTAATACTAACGGTATCTATAGTTTCTGCTTCAGTTTTTTTATTAGAATTGTCTTCAACAACAGTTACGTTCAACAAATTTTGATCACTATTTGGTAAATTATCGTCTGTGAAAGTTAAATCTGTTTCGTTTAAGCTGTCCTCGGGGTCTTCGTCATTTCTAAAACTTTTTACTGCTGATTTTGCGAGATTCCTTAACTCTTCAATTGTCAATGTAATTTCACTATGTATATTACAAAAATCTAAGAAACCCACTATTTCCGGTTTATTTAATAAATTTATCCACGCTACTGTTCGCTGGGAAATTATAAACTCAAATTTCTTTTGAGCTGGTAATTGATTAAAGTCTTCTTTTTCCAACGTCTCAACTACGTATAGTGTGCACAATGTAAATTTTTGAACGAGTTTTGCTGACTGAGGTATTTTTCCAAACCTAGAATTAGAAAAATAGTTGCCTAAACCGACTTCTTCGATTAATTAATCTTTAGATTAATTTCGTTTATTTCTAAATTAAAATATTCGTTCAGATATAATAGGTTTGTTTTATCCACTTTTGCTATTTGGATATTCGCGTTACGTTTTATATAAAACTTGTTGTCCATTAAATACTTTTATTTATCGACGCATTGCTTATGTTCACATACAATAAAATAATTCTCCTGTCCTACTCTTTAGATAACTACGTTATTATTATTATGCAATTAATTTTTAATTTTACTATCTATATAATTTCTCTAATAACATAACCCCTATAATGTAATTTACTCCTATTCTTAACGCTTAATATCTCGCCAAACTCGAAAAAATAAAAAAAAAACTTCAAATGGTTTTATTCTTAAACGTAAATACATAAGTTAACTTATCTAATTAAATTATTCCTTTATTTTCTTTACTACTATGCTGTTATATCTAACACTAAGAACCTCGTAAAAAATTTTTTTAGTTAAAACTAGTTTTATTAGGTACCTATATATACTTTTTCTCATCCCGTAACATTTCAAATCTCTTACTCTTATTCTTAATACTTAATATATATCATGTATATCATAAATCTTAAATAATAAAAAAAACTCAATTATTCTTAACCCGACTACACTTTAATTTTATTAGTTTCCTACGCTTTAATTAACTAAACTTAACAACTAATAATAAAATAAAAATCTTAACCAATCTCAAATATCTGTAATCTCAACTACCCAAGAGCTTCGGCGCCTCCACCAATACGTAATGTGATCGGGGATGACAAGTTAAATATAAAATATTCGGGGGAGAAACCAGTTCCAATGAATATATTTTCACCGTAGCTCGGGAGCACAAAGGGTAATTGGGATCTTAATATTACAAATAAATAACGATTGGTCCAAATAATTTTTAATATTAACCAATTTATTATTACTTACGATTTACGAACAAAGTTACCAAAAATGGGAGTTTGCACGGAGTTCAGGTGTACGTGATGGTAATCGCGGAGAACTGTCTTTCTCTTACACATCGACATTGGCCGTAGCCTTACAATAATAAAATATAATATATGTGGCACCTAAACCAGAGGGGCTTAATATATTATAGTCAGCGCATGACGCTAATAAAATATACTTAATGATGTAATGTACGTTACAATACTCTTTAACAACACAGCACAGTACTCACAAATCTTAATAGACACTTAATATTTAATATTTGAAATTTGACGTACATCAAAAACAAATTATTTGATTGTGTGAACGGAGCTTTAATTACATTACCGGTTTAGTATACTTACTCTGTGTCAAATCGGCGATACTCACCAGTCACCATTCACATAGAAATACATAAATACATTGTAATACAAACAAATCAATAGAACAATATTCACAAACATGAATATTATATAGTTTAATTAAATATACGCATGAAATCCCAGATATTGGGGTGTTTTCCAATCTGTGTCTTGAGTGTGGCATGAAAGGACTTAACATAATTATTAGTTCGAACCTCTGACCTAAAATATATTACAAAAATATATATTATAATTTATATGACAATTATCTGTTTATGTTTTTTTAAGAATTCTAACCCAAAGACACTTATGTTTGCAGCAGTTATTTGTGTTAACCAAAAATCTTGTATGTAGCCAAATAAAAATCCTTGTAGGCGTTCGCGAATTACAGGTTGATGGTTGACATAATCCACGATTATGTGAAAACCATCTAACATTGTGAAATTACAATTAATTTGGGACTCTGCAGGAAGATGTGGTAGAGCTAACACTTAAAAATTAAAAACCCAGATTGAATTTAACCAAGTAAGTAAAAATATTAAACTAATTTTATGCAAATTAAATAATCACAAAAATGTTTCATCGTAATAGCATATTACCATGCGTAAAACTGTAGCCGCCTCAACACTTGTCTGAAATAGTTGGAATAGACCGTTCATGCTTCTTTTGCAGTACCGGATAACAGACTGGCAAAAATGGAACCAACATCCCTGGAGCTTTGTTTGAGGGAAAACAATCCTTA